AATTTTTCAAGATGTCGGGTTTTACTCGCACTTGAGTACATTGCGCAATAATTGGCCAATAAGAAGCTCCTGTAGCCGGGATGACGTCAAACTCACGCGTGTAGGTGCAATTTGACCTTGCGAACCATTTCTGGCCTTTGCAGGGTCATACGATACGGGTAGGGGTAAAACGCGGAAACGGAACGGAACGGACTGGCGGAACCGGAAACGGAATAGAGGGTAAAACGCGGAATAGAGGGTAAAACACGGAAAAGAGGGTAAAACGCGGAAAAGAGGGTAAAACGCGGAAAAGAGGGTAAAACGCGGAAAAGAGGGTAAAACGCGGAAAAGAGGGTAAAACGCGGAAAAAAGGGTAAAACGCGGAAAAGAGGGTAAAACGCGGAAAAAAGGGTAAAACGCGGAAAAAAGTTTTAGAATAGTTTTTTCTTTACGAGGCAGGTATGTAGCTTGGTAAAACTATATTTATTTAAAAATTATACACACTAGTCACTGTTATGTCATAAAAAAGCAACATACATTTACGATATTCTGATACTATTAACAACCCTGATAACTCAAATATTAACCTCAATTAACCTACATAACTACTGGGGTGTATGGGGGGGGGGGGCTAACACCCCCAATTAAATAATAGTAAAAAAGGGAGCACAATTAACTTGCGGAGAAGGGGCCCTGGAATTGCGGAACGTGGTAAATATTAAGGACTTTTCTGCAAAATTGAAGTAAAAATTGGTATGAATAACTACATTTAAGCCCCCATTATGTAAAACTAGTGTATGTAAACCCCTTCCCTCCCCGCCCATTATATAATTATCCATTATGTAACATGTTCCGGAAAAATTTAACGCTAACATTTTCCGGAAAAATGTATTCTATAAAAGCTATAATCTGAAATATAAAGTCCATTAGTAAGTTTTATACCCATCCATACCTCAGTGCAATTGTAAATGTTTTGACTTTGTATTTATCTGCTTATAAAAATGGTAAAATTTAAACATCTAAAACATAGAATAAAGTCCCAATAAACTTATATCTTAATAAACAAAACAACAAGGTCCAAGTCCAAACAGTCAACTGGTGCTGTGATTATGTACAATTAAATTATTATACCAAACTCTGTTAGAAAATGTTTATCAGTGCACAGGTGTTAAATGTGCTCTATCTGAGTAGGGTATTGTCACCATTTGTGGACTGAAATAAGACGTTTAATTAAACGGTTACCTTGATTTTACAAGCTGTGTTCGAGTTATTGCCGTTCCAAAATGAGAATAATAGGCGGGAAAATTCGCAAAAACCCTGGGCACCAGGCTGAAAACACGTTTACAAAAGCTCATAATTCAAGAGGTTCAATCAAAGGCCGTTGAGGCCGACTCACGGATAAGATCAAATGAAAGTGACAGAAAGAATTAGAGCAGTTTTCAGTTGTTTTTGCAAACTGGGCACCGTGCGAATTTTGCATTTCACCTATTTGTCGTGGGCTATCTTTAAAACAGGGAACGGGGAATCGGAGAATCGGGGAATCCGGGAATCGGGGAATCCGGGAATCCGGGAATCGGGGAACCCGGGAATACGATACAAATTTTATAAAAATTTAAATAAAAATTTTATTCAATTTACAATTTATGCAATAAAAGAAAATGAAGCTTAATCGAAAGTTTGACGTCACACCAAAATTGCGGGACACGAAGTCGTGAAAAAAACCCAGTTTAATACTTTTAAACGGGCATTTTGAATGTAAACTTCACGCAGGATATAAACTAAAGCGAATGTGTAATAGCCATGATTGCGCTAAATTAAAGAGTTTCGGTATGCATTGTCGCCATTTTTTGTTGGCACTTGCATGTAATATAATATTTCATTGCTTTGATTGTGATTGCGATTGTCAAATATAATAGTGGTAACACGTTTGCAAGTCGCTTTTTCCTGCTGACATTCATGATGTAATATGATATTTCATTGCTTTGATTGTGATTGTCAAATATAATAGCGGTAACACGTTTGCCAGTCGCTTTTTCCTGCTGACATTCAGGATGTCTGGAGTGCATGGAAGCTTTAAAATGCCATCGCTAATAAAGCGAAGGCGAATAGATCATGGTCTGCCTCCATTTGATTGGAAATTACTTAAAATTGTAGAAGAGCTCGGTAGTGGCACTTTCGGTTCCGTCCATTGCGGGACATATGGAAAAGACAAGAAGACCGTGGTTATAAAGAAGCTTAAGAGCGAATCTGGTGACGCTAAAAGCCGCTTTATAAAAGAAGCCAAAATGCTTCTTGGAATTACGCATGCAAATATACCTGCATTTCTCGGCTTTTCGGATAGTCCTTATGCAATCATGATGGAGTACGTAATGTTTGACTTCCAACCGTTCGGACTTGAAAAACAAGTTCGAAGATTTCTGCCATTTTGTTGATGATGAATGGAACTTTGACTCGTTTGCTGATGTTCTCGTTGTCTGCGTAAAAGATGTTGTTAACGCCTTCGAATATCTACACAAGCGTGATATCGCGCACAGAGATCTGAAAGCAAACAACGTGTTAATAACCAACCAGCATTATTGCCACAAAGACAAAGAATCCTTTTCGCACATTTATGCAGAATGTCCGGTTGTTTGCAAGCTGACGGATTTTGGTTTAAGTAGATCGCTAGACGCCCAAACGCAATCGATTTTACAGTCTCATACGGAAGAAATAATTCGTGGCACACCGGTTTATATGGCTCCCGAAATTCATCTGGGCATATTGAAAAGTGCAAACCAGATCGACTTAAAAAAAACGGATATTTGGTCCCTTGGCATCCTAGCGTACGCTGTGATCAACCCAAATTTAATAAACCCCTACTATAAAGAAGCAGATGCATTAGGTAGCCCGCTCACTATGGAGATCATGAAATCCTTCATGCAAAGCCAATTATTTCCCACCCATGACGCGAAATACGAGTTACACCGAGTCACACTATGGTTGCAGATTGAGGAAATATTTAACTCGTGCGCAAAGTTTGACCCGAATGAAAGGCCAGCAATTTCTGAAATTGCACAAGGATTGAACGTTGAAGATCCAGAGGAGTCTTTAATCGTCAAAGGGCTTAAACATCAGCCAGAACACCGCACTAGAAAACGCCGACTCTGACGTTGCGCATAGAATTCAATATAACACAAGTGATTTGTTGGAAATGGATCACGAATTTCCACACAATGACGGAACAAACGCGTGCGTTTTTTTGGCATTGAAAATTTGTGACATTTTTATAAGGAATGAAAGTCCCGACGACCGTGTACCTTCATGGGAAGAATTGGAAAGAATTACAGAGGAAATGATAAAGACGCTCCCAGCAAAAATAAACAGTGTGAGAAATTCTTCCGAAAAGTACGACCCGATTATTGCTAAAACTA